GGGGGGGGTGTGTATACAGTGTTGCCCTTGTCTGTTCCAATGCGAGGTTATTCAATTGTCATCAAACTTCGTACAAATGTCTAAGAAATGCAAGTACATCAGATGAGTTCATGTTTTAGGATTCCAAGGTCAAGGCCAAGGTCACTGTTGCTATTTTTTTGTAAATCAACAACCAATTCAATGTCATCAGTTAAAAACCAACTTTATTTCTAGATAGATTTTGATCAAACTTTATACAAAGGTCAAGTATGAGAATACCTCTAACATCTCTGTGTTGTAGGGTTCCTAGGTGATGATCATGGCCAAAGTACTATATAGGCATTAACCCTTTCACCCCTATGTAACTTTAGTAGACTCTACCATGCATTGATCTGGATGAGTCCAATATGGTCTTCAGTGGTGAAAGGGTTAGGGTTATTTTTGGCCTTATTGGGGATTTAGGATTAGTTGTTATATTTATAATCTGGAATACATGAAGTACGCAAACTTGAAATTTCATATTCATTCGACAATTGGTTTAGGAGATATGGCATTACAGAGAGAGACATAAACGTGTATTTTCATGATATCATGCATTAATATCGTCTGTTGTGCGCTATTTGGTTGAAAATTTGCCATTTTGAAGGAATTTAATTAAACGCTCTTCAATTTTTGAAAGCCTCCATATGCAACAAACATATAGATATTTGACGTACTTAAACATTGTTATACCAGTGTTCATTCGTAGAAAGGAATGTTTGTTTGTCACATGCGAAGGCTTTCATTTCTGCATGTTAACTGTCCAAAAACACCATATTTTGGCTATTTCTGCATAGCAACGCAGTTTGTTGCTATGGTAAGTCATCTACGTATGCCCATTGGAAAAAATCTACATCAATAAATTTTCAATTGTTATGAGGCCAAAAATAAACAAATAAGTCCTTTCACATGGCGGTGGAGGCATTAATGTCTTACAAACAGTTTCTAGTTTCTTTCTACAGCAAGATGACAAAATTTATAGAGATTTTACGGTTCTGCCTAACACCTGAATGAATGTTTATTTACAAATATTTGTTTTCATGATGTATCAAATCCTAAAAATAGAGTAAAAAAAGAAAGTTTGTTCTGCCATTCATAAGAGCTATTAAAAGTTTTGCATTTTTGTTCACTTAAGAATACTATGAAATTATCAGACTTTATTACTCATTAAAATACTTGTAACCTGCTTTCCTTTTCACTGATATTCACTAATGTTGATTTCAGCGCCAAGAACGTTCCATCCAAGCAGACCAGAAATACTTGACGTTGAGCCGACCTCTCTTGGATTGTCATGGAAACGACCTATCGTTGACATGTACACACCCTTGACCTATAACATCGAGATGCAGGAACCGCCAAGTCAGTTGTGGAGAAACATTCACTCCGGCCTGACCGACACTCACTACAGAGTGGGTGGACTCCAGCCGAGCCGAGACTACATGTTCCGCGTAGTTCCCGTCACCACCTCCGGACAGCTCGAACCACTGCCTCCAGTGTCAATTTCATCCATGCCAGGTACCGTATTTATCCACAAATAAGCCCCCAGCCTTAGGGAAAAAGGTAGACAATAGCAAGTAACACCACCACCCCCTGTTCATAAATGTCTGCCATAATGGATATACCGCTTGTTGATCTATTACCACATATCATGTACTTATAGTTGTTCATGTTGTAAAAATAACAACCAACAGACAGAAGATTAATAATGGTCATATATGGTAAATCTGATTTTGGTTGTTGATTTTGTTGCTCAACTTCTGAGACAAATGATATATTTCATAACTGAATTAGCCAGTTCAGACATCTATAACAATAATAATAATAATAATATACATTATTTATATAGCGCCCTATATAATTTGTAAAATTACTCGAGGCGCTTTACAACATATGGATAATAGTAATGGTTATAATTGTGAAAACAAACAACAAAGGCTTGCAATCACTTTCATACATTTAACAAGCAATGTGCACATAATTGAACAAATAAAAGGGTGGTATTTACATGACGTCTTTGCAAAGATTCTAAAATGCAGATGTGAAGAGGTGAAAAATCATAATCATATGTAATATATCCCAATAATAATTTGTATCCCTTCTTTTTCTGTAAAGTGATCCCAAGAATGCAAAACCAGGAACCAAGTATGACGGAAATGGGACGCGACTCCATTAAGTTGTCATGGCGACCAGCAGAAGTACCGTTCTACAGGAGACAGCCACTACCTATCCATTACGTTGTTGAGATGCGTACACTGCCGAGTTCAGAATGGATCCCCACTGCCCGTAGGGTAAAGGAAACATCCTACATCGTCAAGGGACTTAACCCAAAGAACGACTATGAGTTCCGTATTAAGGCTGAAACTGACTACGGCTGTAGCTCTCCAACTTACCCTGTTACTGTACGCAGGAAGGCAGGTAAGTGAAAAAGCCTCGTTAAAAGATGTAACGAGGCATCCTCTTTTGTTTCGATAGATTAAAAAACAAGGCAATAATTTGATTAATAAAAAAACAAAAGAACTTTCGGACAGTAATTTAAAAAAGCAAGATAATAGAAATTCTTGACAGAAATATTGAATGTAGAGAGATTAAACTAATTAGGGTAATTAAATAGGTCCCCCCCTGACCTCTGAATGATATATTTACAGTGCCTGTGTTCCCAAGGAGGGAACCAATCATAAGCACCGTGTCACCTGACTCTATCACATTGTCATGGCAACCAGCAACAATACCAGGCCACAGTACCAGGATTCCGGTGTATCAGATCGAGGTCCAAGATCCGCCTAGTATTGGACAGTGGCGACCTCTCACCCACAACGTGTCACAGACATCGTACAACGTTGGGGGACTGAGGCCCGACAGGGATTATCTGTTCCGTATCCGTGCCAAGGTAGACGGTATTCTAGGGGAGCCTACTCTTCCAGTTTACCTGATGAGAAGATGTGGTATGTACATTTATAGGTATCCAGCAGAGATTGAAGTCTTCAGATTTGATTGGCTGAAAAGATATACGGAATACATAATCACTTTGAAACATTGGAGACTGTTAAAAGAAATGTTTGAGCATAAAGAAAGCAAAATTTTCTTATCTTGTCTTATCTTTAAAATTGAGGTACTGGAAGATATCAACAATCTTTTATGCGAAAAAGTTTAATTTTGCAGTGTCTGTGGTTATAAATATGATCAACTCTTAAAATGTTGAACCAATGATAAAATGGAACTTTTGGTATTACTGAACCTGTGTAACATGTACTCCTGTGCTATGGTTGTTGTGACAACAAAATTGTTTTCCTATAATTACCAAATTTTTTTATTAAAAAAAAATGTTTAAAAAAAATGTTTCAAAATATCATTTTTTATTTTGCTTATTTCAGATTCAAGCTTTTTTACAAAGTTTTTTAAATAAGTTAACATCGTCATTTATCTAAAAATAATTTATTATCTCACTCAATTATTATCTGACTCAACTTATACCAACAAGAAATATAAGGTGGTTCCTAGTCATATTCATTTAAAAATCTTAGGAGACAGTGTATTTTATTTTCCAAATTATATTTACAGAGAAATAAAACAATACTATCCATGCAGCACTTTTAAAAATCCAAAAATTATTCATTGTTGACCAAAATTGGCAGGTATAGCTTGGGTAATAAGTAACGTCTGGTTGATAACCGTTTGTTACTATATTTAGGACCACCACGGATGCCAAATGATCACCCGTATGTCCATGACATTCAGCCAACGTCTGTGCGCCTGCAATGGAGGTCGGTAGAGTTATCTCCCCGTCACACTGACTACTCCCCAGTGACTTATCGCCTAGAGGTACAGGAAGGAACACGCAGTGACTGGGTCACACTCGCAGGACGTATCCCACATACAGATTTCCATGTGACCAATCTCTTACCTGACCAGGAATACAGCTTCCGTGTCCGTGCAGAGAACAAGTATGGACTCAGCGAACCTACGAATCATGTTCACATCAAACGCAGAGCAGGTACGTTTTATTAATAAAATTATTTGACAAGTACTTTTGTATCAATGACGTCATCATTTTAAAAAAACATCCATTTTGTGTGTTTTTAAAATTAACGATGATATTGATGAATATTGGTAATTTAAAAAAAAAAACTATTTTATATCTTGATAGTTGCACCATCCTTGTCACAAGACGAACCACTTCTGTACGATGTTGGTGCCGGTTCTATTACGTTGTCGTGGAGAGCAGCTGAAGTACCATCCTTTAGCACATCTCCTGTGACCTACACTATATTCGTCCAGGAGTCACCCTCGGGCCCGTGGCTCCCCCACGTGAAAAGGATTCCCCACTCGTGGTACATCCTCAATGGCATACGGTCAGACAGAGATTATACCTTCCGTGTCCAGGCAGAAAATGAGTTTGGAGTGAGTCGTCCGACCTTACCAGTACGCCTTTTCCACACAGGTATGCCCAGTAGAATCAGGGATTTCTATTGATGTACAGTAAATAAACAAGTATTTTCACCTACATTTTTGTAGCTTGCTTAGCTTGCACAAAATTACATTAATCATTTTAATATTTTAAAAATGTTTTAAATGCACTCTTTCCTTAACTTATGGCAGATTTTGAAATAAGGGACCGCAATCTACAGTACATTTGCCCTTTTGTTCAGAGAATGAAAAGGGAGAAATAAAAATTGGGCAATTTTTTCCTATTTTAAATTGTAATGGACATATATGTATTATTATTTAATAGTAAAAAATATTTATAAAGAATTTTTTTTAGTGATCAATGCAGTCATTAAGACCCTGAATATTTTCCTTTATTTGAGACTTTTCTTTCTTTGTAATGACTAATGTCACATGCCAACAGATGATTGTCACTCCAGGGCAATTTAACTCATTCACCCCTGGAATTTCATAATGAACTATTTCAACTTTTGAATTGGAAGAGTTCAAATGTGTCTTCAGGGGTGAAAGAGTTTAAAGTGCCATTTCACTGAAATGTCACAAGTTGAACAAGGCAGCATTACACATCACCAGGATACAGATCTGTTGACGGGCTAAAAAAGGTACCAAGAAACACTACTGAAAAGACTAAGTAGATCATAGAGAACAGACAGAAGTTTAAAGAATCGCAATAAGGGCATCAGATCAACTTTTCAAAATTAAAGATAATTTCAAATTTTGTGATCACAAATATTTTCATGATTTACAGGGTACAAGGCACCAATAGAACTTCCGGAGATTGAAGAATTCGACGAGAAGACTTCGAGCATTAATCTCCGTTGGCGACCACGCTCTATGACGCCATTTGTGGGTGAGCCCCTGCGATACCATGTGGAATCTTGGGAACCAAGGAAGCGTACATGGAGACGATTGGCTTCGGACCTTCCTGACACCAGTTATCGTGTGACTGGCGTGTCCTCTAACCAGGAGAACATCTTCCGTATACGGGCACAGTCCAAAGCTACTCTGAGTGAACCTACTTATCCAATTTCTCTGAGCAGATATCTCTGTAAGTCATCCATTTAGTTAAACCATAATTCAAATCTATTTGCACAGAATTGTTCCATATAAATCACATCTTGTGATGCATTTTAAAGAGTTAGATTTTAGAAAATTGAGTATTTTCAAACAAAAACAAAGAAAATAAAAAACTACAGGGGTTGAACTTTGGACATGTACACTGCCAATCCTACACATATAAATCAGTGTTGCTATCGAAATGCACAGCTCTAAAATGACAGATGAAAAACTTTATCAAGGGAAGTAGCTCCAAGTCAGAAAAAATAATTCCTTTTGTTTCATCCTTTTACCATGGTCTGAAAGTTTGTTCAACAAGAGATGGGCTTATTAATGAGCATGGTCTTGCACAAACCAGGGATCACACCAATGACATTTCCACTTCCCAGTTTGGCATTCTACCAACAGAGCTAAAGAGAAACTCCCCCTACCACAAAGCTAGAAGGCCACAATAATGACATTTACAATTAATTTTGTTATATATTGATCACTAGTAAGATACTATAAGATTTTGATGATGACTGATCAACAGAATGTATTTATTTAGTCTTGGATGAGAACTAATTTCTTTTCTATTTTCAAAATTAATTTTGTACATAAGGTAAGTCACCTAAGGAACTGAAAACATTTATAGAAAGGTTTTCTCTATAGACAGCCTGGAATAGAATGAGTATGAATAAATCTGAACATATGACTAAATAAGTAACGTGGAATTTTTTTTGGATTAAGAACATTTTTCCATCATTGACAGTAATGCATTTTTTTGTTTACTTCTTTTCAAATACTTCAGTCCCAATGTCAAGGCCACAACTACATGACCTTGAACCAGAAGCTGTCAGGTTGTCTTGGAGCCCATACCACCATCATCGCCCAAGGATGCCGTCTCTGCCACCTTTGCCTCACTTGCCATCTGTACCTCGTCGATACGAAGTGGAACTACGAGAGCTGGGTAGCAATGATTGGAGAAACATTGGCACGGTGCCCGATACCTCCTATCACTACCGAGGTCTGAGACCACGCCAGGACTATCAGTTCCGTGTCCGAGGAATTTTGGACCAGGGACCCTCGGAACCTTACTCCAGCCCTATCACACTGTACAGGAGAACAGGTATGTCAAATAAAATCAATCAGGTGTGATGAAGGTTGAGCTATACCAATAGTACAGTTATATCTTGTTAAGCATTGTTGAAGCTGATATGTTGTCAAATAACGGAATAAGTAGTTTCACAAACACAGGCTTGATAGCTGAACAACCAGATGAAAAATAGCTCAATTAACATCAGCACTCAAGTATTTTCTGTTTAACAAACAAACAAACAAGGTATTGCTGTGATGTCATGATTAAAAGTATGTCTTTTATGTTCAATTGCTTAGGCTGAATGTGTTATTAACTTATTTCCAATATTAATCGGTAATTTCCTGTTTTGCAGCATTACCCAGGGTGCCTCTGTCACGACCAGAGATCATGGCTGTCCAGGATGAAACTGTTGACCTTTCCTGGTCAAGAGTGGAGGTTCCGGCCACTCAGTATGACGAGACTCCATTGACATACATAATTGAATCCCAACAACTTCCTGGATATGACTGGACACCAGTGGCACGTGGCATCCCGGATACCAGCTACAGAGTCTCTGGACTTCAACGGAACCAAGATTATGCCTTCCGCGTTAGAGGAGAGCTCCCATCTGGACTTTCGGAACCATCGCCATATGTTCCTGTTTACCGTAGACCAAGTGAGTCCAAGATCATTATCAAAAAGTACCCTAGTATGATTAGCACTAGCATAAGTCCCAGGACATTGCTGTCTCAGTATTACTTCCAGCAGGTCAGTCCAGCCGCAGGTATCATTGCGGTCAAGACACGTGACAATGTAGACACAAGCACTTTACACGCTTCTACTGCACGCCCGACTAATGTATGTGTAGATAGATGTAAAGGTTTAACCACTGTAACTGACAATATCAAAACGAGGAGGGACATCTTCCTCGCAGAGCTTGAAAGAATTGATACAGAATGGCAAAAGAAACATTTAAAGAGGGTCCGTAAGATCGATTTGAAACCTCCCCTTCCACCAAAGCACGCTTCCAAAATAGTAGATCTCAAACCCCCAATGAGTCCTAGGTCCCGTCGCGATCAATTTTTGCACGATGGTAAAAGGATGAACACTAGAATTGCAGAAAGAGAGAAGAGCTTTGGGTTTAAAAATGCACTTGAGAAGTTCAAGAGAATTGATGTTGAAAGGGATATCCAGTTAAGAATTGGCGTCCAGGAGGATGACATCAAGAAGGTGGTAAGAGGTACAGAACTGACAAAAGTACCGAGTAGAGCATCACTGAGAAAAAAGTATGCATCTGATATTGACCTCTCTATGAAGAAATTCAAAGTGGATCAACCGTGCATTAAAAAAGCATTTGTACCAGAGAGGCCACACCTATCAAAACCTGAATTTCACGCGCCCAGACTTAACTTGCTAAGGAAAGCATTTGATGATAGCTGCGCAACAATTGGACGGCACAATGGTCGGCCATCTCGGATAACAGAAAATGCTCAGAAGTATGTCTCTGGGAAATATCAAAGAAGAGCATCTTCTTGGCACGGTTATGCAAGCACAGATTCATTTCTTGGCCTGTCATCCAGTGTGGGTCGTGACATGTCCCTCCGTAGATCCGTCAGAGCCAGCTCTGTCGACTTAATGAGCGGATCTTACATCCCAAAAAGAAGTCGGTCCTGTGGTGTCGCTCCCTACCGTGATCCATCGCTCAGTAGGATTGGTCTGTCCTGGTACCATGACAGGAAATCCTCCAATATGCCATTTGCACGGAACCGGAGCGCATCAGCTTATGATCTAGCTAGAAAGCCGTCTGTGCCACCTATGACTTTACCTGAGAGATATTCCAGTACTGAATACCTGACTCGTCGTGACTACAGTTCGTCCATAACAAGAGATGCTAGTCGATCCGCTCGAGGTGTGTCTCTTCCTCCAGCCTCAAACAAGTACTCCAGTACAGAGTATCTGACCAAGCGTGATTACAGTCCGTCTATGACCAGAGATTCTAGACGATCATATCGAGGAATGTCACAGCCTCCAATTAGTGCTTCAGACAGATACTCAAGCTCAGGATATTTGAGTAGAAGAGACCAAAGTACTTCTCTGACTCGTGAGTTGATAGGACGAGATTCCAGCTTGTCGGCCAGCAGAGATCAAAAGTCCTACAGAAGCAAGAGTATGTCTGTAGTGGATGGTTATATACCTTTGTCTGGCACTTCTACCAGGAATACCTACGTCCCTAAAACCAGGTGCTTCCGAGATAGCTCCCCATCTCCAAGACTGACATCCACCATGGGGAGTCCTCTATTGACCCGCAAGGGGTCCGTAGACACTTTGCGACAGTCAGTGGGAACGGATAGAAGTAGCCCAAGGGAATCCTCCATTATGAAGACCCGTCACCTCACACCCCAAAGATTGAGGACCATGTCGGTTAGCAGTTCCTGTGGGTCCCCGTACGACATAACCCCATCCAGTTCCAGGGCCCAATCTATCATCTCTCGCTCTCCTTCTAAGGATTACTCAGACTCACTCAAAGATAGAGATACTAGCAACTGGATCAGGAGGGTTGTGTCGGGCTTTAGAAAACATATTGCCTAAGGTTTGCCTCAAAAATGAACTATTCAAACTGACCATTCATATTTTCAACTTCCGAACATATTTCACTCCAAAATTAAAATTGCAAATTCAGCTAAGGGTTATTTGATTCTATTTTGAGACAAACAAAAAATAGGAAAATGATCATAGACCCAAAAGTTGAAAATTGGAGGAAAACGGAAGAAATGTAACTAACTGTACACTTGACCCAGAATTCCCTCCCTTGACCAATATTAGTATGTATTATAGGATAGGGTTGTGTCCAATACCTCGATCCCTGTATATTAGCCGCACGTAAAATACCCCCTTTTGATGTCCGTTTTCGTTTTCTCATACACACAAATATAGTTGTATCTCCTTTGTATACTCCTGTACATTATGTAACAGTCACATATTGATTGTGTCCCCCATTACAATATTCACACATATAGTTGTTTACCGTTATACACCCATTTACGTATACACTTGTTTTACTGTAGATTACAATCACACATAGAGTTGTGCCCCTTTTGTATACCCGTTTACGTAATTTATTAAATAGAAACTGAGTGTTCCTATCTCCTATTAAATACGAATTATGTTCCCCGTCCCCACCAACAATGTTTCACCCCAAATGGTCTTGCATCAAATAAATGTACATCTTAACTAAAGGTTCCTTTGCTATTCTGTATCATTTAGTTCTATGACTAAACCTTGCCACCCCTGTGTAACATTTTGGTACATCCCAGCAGTACCAGCAATGTCCACTATGTATCAAAGGGGAGGAAAGGTTGATAATGTTGCACATGTGTTAATATTCTTTTTGTTTTGTATGTAGTTTTAAGTTGTACATGTGTCAATGTACATTTTCAAATGCATTGTTTATTTCTGTAGCTTTGTGTAGATGTTTGTCACTATCTTTCTCACATATTATGTAGATAGCACATTTTAATACTAGCAGAATATACACGCTACGATTTTATTGCGTTTTGTCTTGAAATAATGTGCAAATTGTCAAACAGTTTACTTAAATATTTTCTTTTTATTATTTATTTATTTATTAATTAGTAGAATTGTGCTATGTAGCTTTGCTTAATATTCAAAAAAATTGATGTAAAAACTGGTTAATGAATTTTGGCCAATTTTAACATCTAATTTAAGCTTTTAACTTGCTAATGCTCGTCACTAACCGATGCCATTATTGCTAAATAATTTGGTGTATTATCATTTTTTGCTGGACAATTTCTGCTTGACGCTATGCTAGCTTTAGCAATTTGACAGTTCAGACCAACTGAGACGCAAATATACTAGAGAATTTACTGAACAATTGTTAATTAATTTTACTACATTCTTAATTATGTTTCAATTGACTGTAATAGCGTTAAGCTGCGATATGGCATCAGGTTTTCTACTCTATACGGCAAATTTTAATGAAAATCAACAATATGAAAATGTGAACGCTGTTATCGATACTGATGATTGTGGTTATATATCTTAATGATATATTTCTGAAAGTTTTAATAGTAATTGAAGGATATTTGCCGTATAGAACAAATATTTACAATTTAATGGTTTACACTTCAGTGTTATGCGTGCCTCTTCACATAATTTAACAACAATAACCCATGTTTTCCTATTACCAACATATTTTTTTTTAATTATTTCTTACAAAAAATGTGATCTGTAGTTTATCAGTCAGTCAAAGAATAACATTCTTTTTCTCCTTAGTACTAATTAAATTTCACATGCAAGCACTGGATTGTAAGCTATACTAATTTCTTAAATAAATGTTTGTAAATATGAAATTTGAATTAAACATTTTATGATATTTAAATGTGGGAAAAATTTATCCTTGTTATATTTTTAGACTTTATATAAATAGAAATATGTATACATTATTACCACAGTATTAATGTTTTGACGTATAGAGTTTTAAAAAATCGTTATTTTGTGTTAATGTATATTACAAGTGATAAACAATAACAATGTAAAAGTTAGTATCCAAAAAAATCAAATATTTCTGGAAAATGTAATATACTGTTTTCCCCATTGTATCTATATATTATTATTTTAGATTTTTGTTTCCAATTTCGAAAACTGTAATGTTAAATAATTTACAAATAATTTTATCAACAACATTATATAGATATTTGAAAGATATTATTTTTTATTGGTAAAGGTTTAACTACATTGTAACTTTTTGTTTTCGTGTGTTGGAATTCTAAGACAAATAATGTGTACATGTATTTGTACAATATCATATGTACTCTTTCATATTTAGTTTATGTGAGTTCCGAATGATCACTGACCAATAGAACATGAAAGGTAATCTAACATGATAATTTCTTCACGCGTAATTTATTTCATAAAAGATTTGAAAATATTGGATATTTTGATGAGTAAATCAATGTAAAATGTAATCAGGACAAATATTGTTATGTACTGAAATTATGTATTATTTCTTTCGAAGATGTAGATGCAATCGGGTCCATTTTGATATTTTTTTTTGTAACAGTCGATAGCATTTATAAGTCGGAAGGTTCTTTGAGTACAATTTTTTGTTCACATTGATATGACAAACATATTGATCTGTAGTTTAAAACTTCTTTTGTTGCTGTGTAAGTAGCTGTTAGCCCTTTCACCACTGTGGACCATAATAGACTCATCCAGATCAATGCATGGTAGAGTTTTGTAAAGTTACATAGAGGTGAAAGGGTTAAGTGAATTAAATGTTTGGTATTAAATAAATGTAATCTTACGTGGAAGAATGGGGTCTAGATACTGACATTTTGTTTTGAATTATTAATATGTATTTACTCCTTAACTATTAATGTATACAATTAATGTATAATAATATGTATATTATCATGTATCATTTTAATATATTTTATCGTAGAAGTAGATGGGAATTTGTGCAATTTATCCTTCACTAAATTAGCCTTTACACTGTATGATATTATAGAATGTGCATGGTAAAATAAACTGTATTTTAATCAAAGACATCCAAGTAACTTTTAAATACGTTTTACTACACAAATTATTCCATGTACATTTCCTTACTACTTTAAATATGGTTTTAACTTCACTGTGAAGCTTTAAAAAAATTTTTTTACTATAAATACAAAATACATGTCAGTTGATTTATCAAAAGCACTTCTCATGTCAGAATTATTTTGAGAAATCGTTAAAAAATATTAGTTGAAATCGCTCCTAAAATCTTTAAAACGTGAAGAAATTAGGATTTTGTCGGTTGGGAATAGATAGTTTATGTGACAATGTGACATTATGTAGCATTCGTGTACAATTATTATTATTATTGTGAACAACATACAGCGAAAATCTAAATAAATACTGAACGATAAAACGATCGCATGGCAGCGATGAAATACTTATACACAGCGTAAGTTCCATGCAATGTTTTGTGCTTTTGGAAAATTAGACCTTTTGGTGCAGTGCCGAATAGGAAAGCCTGATAGTATATATTAAAATACTAATTCTTATGCAGAGATCTTCTGTCTGAATTTAAACTGGTAAATAAAGGTACACTGCAGTCGTGTATTCCTCTTCCTGCGAAAATTTCAAAACAAAATAGAAACAAATGCAAATTCTTCCTGTATACAATAAATGTTACATAATGAGGAACATCTAATGCAATAATGAATTGAAGCTATAAATCGCTTATAGGCAAAATCGTTATTTCCATGGTATCATTTGTGAAAGTTTTCTCATATGTAGTAAGGTCATGTACATCGAATTTTGTTCCGAAGTGAAGTGTTGTCTCAATTTTTATTGTAAAAGTTACTTGAATGTGTTATAATATTATTCACTTCACCTGCAAAGTATACCAGTAAGGCTTGAAGACCTGCTGGTACTGTCATTTTGGAAATGTGTCATGTATGTTTAATTTTTAATTTTCAAGGAAAAGTGATATTTTGTTGCAAAACCCTCCCGATTTTTCTTTTATTTCTTAGACATCTTAACAAATTTATTGAGAATACATTGTCCTTGGATTTATATGATACTAGAAGAGTGTTGTGTGTTTATATAGTGTTAGTAAGATATGAAATGGGAATTATTGCACATTTATATTTTGTCCAAGATTGAAAATATTTGGAAAATCAAGGTCACAATAGAAATTTGTTGGATATTTTTTTTCTTCAAATTATGACGTTATTTAAGTGCTGAATATTCCAGAAATTTCATATCCAATATGATTAATGAAAACAGGTAAGTTTATTTTGACATAGTGATTGAGAGTGTGCTTGAAAATTGAAATATAAATTATGATAGACGTATATATCTAGTTTGTTTCAAATGCTGGACTGTGATAAAGTGTGATTTGTGCCAACGTAACCCTTCCACCCCTAGTTTCTCCAAACGAGATCATGTATTTAATTATCAGAACGTGCCTTAATCTGTCAATGGTTGTGGAAGGGTTATATTATTGTCATTTATTTATTCATTAATTCCTTATATGGACATACCAATTACCACCGATACTTTCATGTGTAATGTGTTTTGTTATCGCTTAGCAAGTACGACTAGACTTTGTGATTTGTTGAGACCTGCGTTTTGAGTTTTAGCTGTTGACAATAAAAAGAGCTTGCCCAACTCTGGTCTTTGTGTATCTTTTATATTACCTGTGTATCTTTCTATATAACCTGACGTGTTTTATTTCAGTGTTAGCTGATCTTACCTTCCACAGTCAGGGTAAACACTCGTTTGTGTTATCTTCTCTGGTTCAGACTAATATATTAATGTCAGCTGTTCATGTTTGTGATTTTATTGTTGAATTTGGTTTCATCTTTTAAGAAGGCATGGTTATTGATATTTCTCGTTTCTTTTCACCCCTCAATTTTTTTTATTTTTTTTCAGTCCAATTTTTTCTCGGGTTTATTTTTATCTTATGAATGTTTATCATCGTTCAAGATATGATTTACTTCCGTGAAAGCATGAAAATTGAGTATTCTAATTCAACTTACACTTCTTGATTCCATCATGTTTGAAGTCAACTCCCGCATTTGTTCCTCCTGAAAAGTTGAAGTGTTGTCATAACTAACTTTTAGTCAATCTAGGTTATTCACTAGTACTAAAAACCTAAAATTTTAAGTAAACTTTCTTGAAAATAACGCAAGACGTTTCAATGGAGCATTGAAAATGCAGCCACCAAATAATCAGATCGATTGTCCCTATGTTCCGTGTTTTTAGGGGACAAAGTTTGATCTTATTTCTATGAACAATTAAAGGCCACTTTTGCTGAGGACTATGGCGGCTATGTTATCGAGTCCCCTCGGTATTTATCGTATAATGTTTTGTTTTAATAATCCCCAGAAATACAAAGTACTATGTATGTTTTTCAATGTACAAAAATACTAAACCTGAAAAATATCATTGATAGGCTCTTGGGAAGAACAGAATTGGAATTATGCATTGATATGAACAATAGAGTTGATATAGACCCAACTGAACCATCTAATTGAAAGAGTTTTACAGACAATATAATAGTTACAAGTATAGACTGATACGAACAATACAATTGACAAGAACTGTAATGAACATTATAGTTGATAAAGACTCGCGAACAAAAGCTTTGTGTGCTATATTCTAGAATAGTATGGCTAGTAACACAGAGAATATACGTGGTTAAATGTAAAAAAATTGTTAGAAATACTTTTTGTTAAGTTTTAACATTAATGCTCAGAAAAAAATGTTCGTAATATGAATTCCTGTGTCATGTTCAATCAGAAAAAAATATTCCCGAAAAAAAACTACATATAAAGATATACAAGTTAGAATGATAGGATATTAATATAAGGCATAGAATGCTGGCATCTGGATTGGAAAACAAAATGAATCTAATTGTAATTGTTAAATGCTTAGCATTTGTAAATAAAGCTCAAGAGCACTAGTCTCGCTGGAACATGCTCGTACAATTCGTTTAAATTGCAGTAGTATGGAAGATCTCGTTCGTGTTATTTCCTAAATTTGGATTTTACTACATACAATCAAAATATCCTACAGGGGAAATCTCCATCTTAGATACGAATAGATGATCTCTCATACCAAGACAATACATATTCATAAATGAGGTATATATACGACCAGTTTGGTTGGAAATCATATAGAACAATAATTGATGACGCTATTTTCAAATGTTTCATCCTGGTTTAACTTTAACATCCTTTTCAAAGACATTGTATTGTATCGGTATAATCCGGAAAGAATTACTTGGCCTTTAGAAATTGTAAGGATTGTTAATGAGGAGAAAGCAGATAAAATTCAAGTTGGTCATGAACCTATTGAAATAGTATAATTATACATGTCTAAAACTAGTTAAGGAAGGATACGAATGTAATATCTTATACAAGTATTGGTATCGGAAGTGATTACTTACAGGAATCATCCTGTCGGTCCATCTGTCCATCATTTTGGTAAGCACTATGTGTTTCATTGGTTTGGTAACTTGACAAAGTGAGATAACATCGCATGAAGATGTGCGTGAAGAACGAAATTTGAGATTCGACTTTTTTTCCGGGAGTTATGGCCGTTAAAACGTTCTGTTCCAGAAACCTTGTAGGCACAACTTCTCCTTGACGGTGGTGCAGTTGTTTTTACTAGACACAGTGAAAGAAAGATAATTTGCGATACAACTATTTTTCTTGGAGGTATGGCTATTGAAACTTTAAATTTCTGCTCCAGAAACCTTGGAAGTGCTACTCCATCTTATCTTTTTGTTAGATTTTTTAATTTCAAGGCACAGTCAAACTACATCCTATGTACATGTGCTGGGGAAGGAATTTGTAATGCAACTAGTATTCCTGGAGTTTTGGCCATTGCAACTTTGATTTCTGCCCCAGAAAACTTGTAAGCTCAAGCGGAGTTATATCTTTGCGAGCTCGCTCACAATTTCTAAAGTTGGTTTTTATTTCAAATCAATTTGATAAAAAAAGGATTGCAACATAATCTAACAAACGTTTTTCAAATATCAGCTTTAATGTCGAATAAAATAGTTTGGGAACTATGTGTAAATACTGGTTTAATACGTCACTGGATGTGTCATCAGTTTAAATTAACAAAAACTGTTTCTCTCCTATATACATGATAAAAAACGGGAAAACGGTGATAAACAAAGTACATGTGTCAAGAAACATGAACGTTTGCATATGTGCAGCTTGTCTCGGTGTTGACATCTGGTGTAAGGAGGACCAACATACCTGTTGTTCCTGGCTGTTATCGCCTTGATGTAGTGTCATCATTGCCAGATTTGGTCAAGCTTGGTCACTGAAATATATATAGTATAAGGTTATGTAATACCGTTCGGTTAAGAAATATGCTTTATAAATTATCATATACGAAGCTACTGGTTAATCAAACAAAATCTTCTCGCATCATATGTAGCTTTTATCCAAGACAGTTCACACGTGGTTTTCGTTCAGTTATGCATTGTATTGCATATATCTAATTACGTGGCCACACATGTAAAAAGCTATTTCGTGCTATTTACTTCTTACTGTCCAGGTTCGGTTCGATAAGGGTTTTAGGTAATTATGTGATGTTGTTCTTACCGATCGCTTTGTTTTTGTGTTGTCATTTTGTTCAGCATTTAAGGATCCCTGTACCACTGCCAAAACCGTAACTATAAATTGGAAACTGTTTTTACCGGTATGACTATAGCTATACCCTTGTGAGACTTTTATGAAAAAATATGATTATATGAATTTAAAAAAAAGGAATAACAGTGTTACGAGTGCACAATTGCGACAGATTGTACCAGGATTCGTACATTGGTTACCTTAAAACCAAAATAAAAAGGAAGTTACCGTTTATACGAAAACTGATCATGACCGTTGAAATCTCGTTAGTGTTTGCCTGCACCGGGTCAGGGATTATTAATTTTACAAAATAAATATCATTTATACACGTGTACATATCTTACAATAGTATTTTTATAGATCCATCGCATGTATATATTGTTTGTATTAATTCAAAACATTATCTCCAGAGCTATAAAGTGATAAGGATGTTGGTAATTACATCCAGACGTAGCTATAAATACATCACAGCTCGTTCGAGTTCAAGGTCATTAGATAATAGGCTATAAGTGGGGATGTGGATGTGTGGGAGGGCTTTATTATTGTACACGGAAAGTACAGCTTACACGAATGGTCTGTACCAGTATGTTAGTGGTATGCCTTCATCAAAAGCCCCCCTCCCGTCTTATGTCTTCGTGTATTTATTAAGAAAAAAGTGTATGCAGATGAAATCGTTATAAAATATTTTGATATTTATTTAAGGCTGAAAACAAACTATCCGAGCTCTGGAATTCAAAATGATTACATTGAGAAAATATACAAAAGAAAAAATAAACAATTCTCATATTTGAATTTGAAAATGAAATTTAAAAAAAAAAGTATGACAAAAAAATGATTTATTGCCAGTAAATAGACATAAGAGAAATGCTTTGAAAATATAGAGGATACACACATATGATTCTTACCAAAGTACACTTATTATTTGTGTTACATTCCGAGACGACGCTTATCTATCCAAATCATGACTATCTGAACTCATTTCAATATCAAATGATTTATTGCAGATGGCACCGAACACTGATCGTGCTAAGGTTGATATATATATATATACGGCTTTATGACAGAATACAGGTGTCGTGTTGACTGTATAACACTGTGTACACGTGTATAGCCGTTTGCTAGTTACAAGTGTTATTTATATATTGAGGGATTATTAGCGAGAAGAAAGACTTTAGATTATTTGTCACTGTGTCTGTAGATGATAGAAACCAGTTATTTGATGAATTTCAGACGCTTTTCTCGGAGCTAAAATTACCGGTATCGTAAAGTGAATTCATGTAAGAAACAAAAACAAGCTTTAAACCGTTTATATCATACATAACAGATTTTGTATCATTGTGGTTAGGGCGTGCAGTCATCAGATTAATGTGGAGGTATGAAGATTAGTTGGTACTGGTAAGCAACAATATACAATTTGCCATTATCTTAGTAAAAATTCTCGTATAAGATATCTCTGTTTTACAAAATTTGACATGTTTCAACTAGAAGGCAAAGAACATAGTGTATCACATTCTGAACATATTTGATAGTGCATCAATGACTCTTTCTGTAACTTAAAATTGTTACGCGCTGAAGAAAATTTTCGTTAAAAATTTACCAAACCAGCAAGAACATAATTCTACAATATAATAAATTGTATATTTGAGTAGTAACACGATCATTTACACATAGTTGGAAGAGAGATAGTTTTGGGGTTTTTTTGCATACTGAAATTTTTTTTTGACTTTATTGACGAAAACTTCATAAAAAAGTCTAAACCAATCATTTATGTATTAATTAATGTCATCTTAAAATATACATAAATATAACTAAACTATCCAAAACGCAAGCCTTCATTGGCCGGATTATGCATATATTGATTAATAAAATATCGGTGAAGCTAAGGGGTGAATATGTAGAGCTAACAAAATAAATGCATGACAATTGCAAAATTTGGAAAGAATGTGGAAGAACACCATAGTCAGGTTCTGATAAGACACCACACTCATAATTTAGGCTTCTCCTTGGTCATTAACATATAGACTGTTGAAATCCAAACCTCATAACCATATGTACAAAAGGCTTGGCATGAAGAAGACACTCATGTCTTTGGTTTCTTGCCCGTCAAAAGTGATTTAG